CGCACTCGGCGTCGAGGGTGTGGCCGAGGCCGAGGCCGAAGTCGAAGCGTCCTCTGGCGGGCTGGCGCTGGCGGGCCGTACCCTGGCGGCGTCGGGGCTCTGGATGACCTCGTCGGGGCTGTGCAGGCGGGGTGGCGGGAAGTTGCCCTTCTTGTCGACGGCTTCGACGAGGCGTTTGAAGCGGCGGAAGAGGGCCTCGGCGCGGATGAGGGTCGAGTCGAGGTCCATTGTGTTGGAGAGTTCGTTGAACTGGCGTGCGTTAGACTTTTTTTTTTTTTTTTTTTTTTGGCTTTGGGCAAAGGGGGCAAGAATCTCAAACATACCATACTTGAGCACCTCGTCAAAGTGCTGCAGATGCGTCATGATGACATCCCTGTGCTTCTCGAGGATGGCGAGCGCGACGAAGAGGTGGAAGCTGCTGCTGAGGTAGTCTGTCCACAGGACCTCCCAGAGGTGCAGCGTGTCCATCCAGGCGAACTCGCGCTTGTACCACACGAGCAGCATGCGGAAGAAGAAGAAAAAGTTGGTGCTGTCGGCAGACTGGAGGTGCTTGTACAGCTTGGGGTCCATGAACTGGACGAGATGGTCGAGGGCCAGGAGCTGGTTGCGCATGCCGGACTGGTCGCGGAGAAAGATGCGCTCCATGCGGTCCATGAAGTGCTGAAAGCCCCAGAACGCAATGGCATCGTCCTGCATGACGGGCGTAGATGGGCGCCAGCAGGTCAGACATGCCCTGGGACGTAGCCGAGATCCCTTGTTGTACTCGTTGTAGGTGAGGGAGCATGTCCTTCAGCTGGTTCGAGGTGAACGTTGGTGCCGACCTCGGCGAAGGGAGAGTCAGGGTCTGGATGGGGGATGTCTTCCCCTGCAAAAATGGGGACGTTGCGGTCCGTACGGTGAACGTCTTTCTCTGTGGTGGCTGTTAGCACGAACGTTGGATTCTGCGTCGCTGTGGTGTACTGACCGATACGGCCCTTCTGCTCGCGCCACCACTCGCCCTCCTCTCCTTCACCGCCGAGATCCACGAGCCTCTCCCACCAGGCTCCCTTGAGCTTGACAAAGGCATCCCTGAGCGAGTTGATCTGGACCTTGCGCTCATCGGCAGTGCTGTGCCAGTCGTACACACCCAGAAGGAACAGCCAAGCCTCCTTGCGCACGCCGTCGTCCGGATCGAGACCTCCGTGGAAGATGCGCTCCTTGACCTCATCGACAGTCACGGTCAACCGCCCGGTGCGCGCGTCGAAAAAGGTACTCCACTCCTTGGCCGTGACGGGCTTCCTGCGCTCCTCCATCGACAGGCCGCTCGTACCATCCAGCAGCTCAAACTCGCCGACGTCTGTATCTTCGAGCTCCAGCACGTCCTTCGCGGTCCAGATCCTCTGTCGGCGATCACGCTCGCTCTGTTCGGCAATGCCCATGGCCCACCTAGCCAGGTAGATCCTCGCGCTGTCAAACTCCTCCTGGATGGTTTGCACCTCCGGGTTTCTCAGCAGCCGCCTCATCTGTGGAGGGACGTTGGGGTTCTGGATGGCGTCTTGGGCGGCGCGGCGTGTCATGGTCGTGACCTTGCTGAACTTTTCCATAATGTTCCAGCCAGTCTCCTTAACAAACTTGACAAAGGGATCCATCTGGGCATCGGGTCCTGCGCCCCGTGACGATCCTGCGCCGGCAGCACCCTGGACGTTCATGCCCGTGGTGCTGTCCTTGCGCCCAATTTGTGTCTGACTGGACGTCAGCTTGCCACCAAAGGCCTCGCTGTCTTCCTTGCTCGGCTCGACGAGGTAGATGTTGGGCTCGGCCTCGGACCGTTGAATGTCGATATATCGTCGCAGCCAGCGCAGGACCTCGTCGCCACCCCAGAACATCTCGCCCTTGTCGCCAAAGGGATCAAAGTTCTCGCGCGCGCGCTGCTTCCTCTTGAGGATGGTGCTCTGGCATTCGCCATCGTGGAAGAACAGGGCGGGGAAGCTGTCGCCGGCCCTCGAGTTGATGATCAGGGAGCCGTACCACCAGCCCAGGCTCGGGGGGCGGACGAGCAGTGAATAGATGGCGCTGACGGGGATGGCGAAGGCGTAGTGGCCGATGGAGCCCTGGTGGGCGGTGACGGTGGGCGGTGGGGGCACGAGGTAGGATTGCTTGGGGGGCGACTCGGCGTCGCTGAGGTCGACCTTGACGTAGATGCTTTCGGAAGCGCCCAGCGATGTTTCGGGCAGCCAGGCGAGGAGGAGATCTGACGAGGCGACGGAGCCAGGCTCGAGCGATGAGGAGGAAAGGGGCCGGCCATTTCGGTGACCTTTTTGCTGGAGCAGAGCGATGTAGCCTGGGATGTTGTCTTTGGCAGACGGGGTTGGGTGGACGTAGACCTGGGGTGGCGTGGTGGGTTAGACGATGAGGGGCAAGGAAAGCGTATTCGCAAGGAAAGCAATTCGCAAGGAAAGCAATTCGCAAGGAGCAGCAGGCCACTCACCTTGCTCTTGGAAAAGAGCAGCTTCACACCACGTCCCGTCTCGGTGTGTGTGATGGTGTTGTACTCACCCTCGTCGTCGTCGCTCAAGGCATAGTAGCTGCCCGATGGCGACGAGCTTCTCTGTGGTTTGGCGGGAGCTGCATCGCGAGAGGCCCCTGCTGAGGAGGGCGGGGGGTCTGAGGTCATCGTGCAGCCGTGTCTGGCCGTGACGGTCGGCGGGTGTGGGTAGTAGAGCAGACGGAGAGATGAGATGAAGCGCAGGCTGAAGCTGCTTGAGGAAGGAAAGGCTTACACGAGAGGAAGACTCGAGTGCAAGAAGGGAAATCTTGGTACAGCACGCATGATGCACCAGATGGGGTTCACGCGGACATGGAGTGTAGGTGGACGGCGGGGGGGGGGGGCGACTAATAGAATGGGCGAGGTCACCAGGCTGCAGCGATGGTGATGGTGGGGTCGCCCGCTGAAAGCGTCGGCCGCCTGCTATAGCTGGCGCGTTCCGCCTACGTCACCCGGGCCTCGCCTCTCGCCTCGTCACTTCACGCGATGCCTCCAGGTGCCTGCCTATCTGAGGTGCCTACCTTAGGTACCTTGAGTAAGTACCGAGCATCTGTGGCTGGAGCTTAAGGTACCCTGCCCTGTGAAGTATCTACGCTCGTAGGTCTCACCTCGACACCATCCCTTCCACCTTCAATCCGACCCTACTGGATGGCAGCACGTTGACGTCAAACAACATGTCGACATCAGCCAATGGCTTTCCCTACGAAACGCCATCACACTCTCATCGTTCCACCAAGAAGCCCGGCGGCCCGCATGTATGTTCATCACTTACTTGCACGGCTATGCAATGCAAGCCGCGGCAACAGCGAACGATGCATATGGATGGCCCTTTTCATGCAGCAAGATATCCACGGTGCATTCAACATCCAATGACTTCCTTTCGCCTACATACGGCACCTTTGCGCGATGGAGACCACCAGTCGTGATCTGCACACAGGTAGCACTCAACCCCACCGAGGTCGCCAAGTCGGCACATCACGAACCCACGGCACGGAAGATGCTCCTCGACGCGGCTGACCGCCGCCTGCACGAGATATGAGCGGCCAATCATGACATTGGTGATTATGCCGATTGTTTGCCTGATATAGACTCTGTGTCCGTTGCTGCAGACCTCGTTGTTGTGCTCGTCCGCTTTATCTTCGTCTTCCTCTTCTCTCTCGTTCTGAGCTTCACCTGCCTTGCTACTGACCCCGTCCCCCCTCCGCTACACGTGAACCAGCTGCCAGACCAACATCATGGCGGCATCGCTTGTACTGCCGTGGGCTGCTGTGGCTCTACTCAGCTACCTTGTTTACCAATACCTCAACGAGAGACGCCGGCTGCCCCTACCACCAGGTCCCAAACCGCTCCCCATTGTTGGCAATGTGAACGACTTTCCTCCCGCCGATATGGCCGAGTACCAGCACTGGGTCAAGCACAAGGGCCTCTATGGCCCCATCAGCTCCGTGACCGTGCTTGGCAAGACTCTCATTCTCATCAATGACCAGCAGATGGCTCATGACCTCCTCGAGAAGTTCGCCGGCAAGACCTCCGGTCGGCCGAGCATGGTCTTTGCCAATGAGTTCTGCGGCTACGACAAGACAGTCATCAGCCAGGGCAACACCGAGGTCTTTCCGCAGGTACCGCAAGCTCATGCACCGAGAACTCGGCACCAAGGCTGCGGCAGCACAGTATCACCAGGCCCAGGAGCTCGAGGTGAACCGCCAGCTCGTGCGTGCGCTGAAGGAGCCGGAGAAGTGGCTGCAGCACTTCAAGACGTGAGTTCGAACGACGTTGGCGAGACATCAATGTGCATGTCTGACCAAGATCCAGCACGACTGCGGCGACCATCCTAAAGATGGCCTATGGCTACATTGCCGAGCCGCACGAGCCCGACGTGCTCGTCAGCCTCGTCGACAAGATGACCACCGAGTTCTCCCTGGCGACTGTGCCCATGGCCTGGCCGGTCGATACGATTCCTCTGCTCCGATACATCCCCGAGAACACGCCCGGCGTCACCTTCAAGAAGACGGCGCGCAAGTGGCGCACGTCCATCCAGGACGCCGGCTGGGTGCCGTATCGATTCGTCCAGCGCCAGATGGACGCCGATTCGCAAAAGCCTTCGTACGTGTCGAAGCTCGTGCAACAGTGCAAAAACAACGACACGAGCACCCTGTGCCAAGATGATGAGGAGGCCATCCTGTGGTCGGCCGCAAGTCTCTACGGCGGCGCCGCGGACACCACCGTCATCAGCCTGACGGCCTTCACCCTGGCCATGGCAAAGTTCCCCGGTATTCAACGCAAAGCCCAGGAAGAAATCGACCGCGTCATAGGCACCGATCGTCTTCCCAACTTTGAGGACCGGGACAGCCTTCCCTACATCAACGCAGTCATCAAAGAGACGCTGAGATGGTGGCCTATTGCCCCCATGGGATTCCCCCACACGGCCAACGAGGAGCTCGAGTACAACGGGTACCGCATCCCCAAGAACGCCATCCTCCTCCCGGCTGTGTGGGGGTTCCTCCATGACCCGAACGTCTACCGGGACCCGCACTCGTTTGAGCCCGAGCGCTTTCTGAGCCCGCGAGACGAGCCAGACCCCACGTCCGACGTGTTTGGGTACGGACGCAGAATATGCCCTGGCCGGTTTATCGCCGACTCGGGTGTCTTCATCAACGTCGTCCAGTCCTTGGCGGTATTTGACGTGAGCGCCGCCACCGACTCGACGGGGGGGTCCGTGGGTATCGACGCCAAGCCGATGCCCGGCATCCTGTGCTACCCTGCTGAGTTCCCCTTCAAGATCACGCCGAGGAGCGCTGCGCACACACATCTCATTCGGCGCGCGGAGGAGGACCACCCCTGGGAGGCGAGCGATGCGCCCCTTCTCGAGACCTAATCGTGCGGGGATGCGTCAGCTGCAGCAGAACGAGCTCAACTTATGGACAAGTTATGACTACAGACTGATTTGCCTGTACTTTCTCTCCTCTAACTTGTGAAGGAACGCTGAGGTCTGGCTTGGGCCCTGATGCACACACGAGACATGCTTCTTGTCAATGAGCTTGCGAGTGACAAGGAGAGAACCATAAGACGGTACGTTATGAGGACTCGCATCAGTGCAATGCTTCATTGAAAAAAAAGTCAACTTAGCATCACCCAGTGAACAGACTCAACAGCAAGGAAAAATAAGGGGTTTTGCTGCAAGCGGTTGTCGTGATTTTGCTCATCGAACCGGAAATTATCCATTGGGGGGATGGCGCAGTTGGGAGCGCGTTAGACTGAAGCCAACTTCAGGAAGTCAATCTAAAGGTCGCTGGTTCGATCCCGGCTCACCCCAATTGTTTTGCCTTTT